CCCATCGAATTGGTGGTATAGCTGAATACCGTTTTCGCTTAAAAAAAAACATCACTAATTTCTTATTGGGAGACCCTTTAGTAAAAAGAGTATACTTTGTCTATCAGCTGTTGCCCAATTATTTATTAAACAATTATTTCCCTACTTTGAATTTTCACTTTAAAAATTTAAATTCGATTCCGCCAGGTAGAAATCGTATGATTTCTCTTTTGTTATTAAATGGCGTAGTTACGTCCGTATATAGTTATTTTGATAACTATTGTCTATGACGAGAATTGATTTTGTTTCGATTCAGAGTAGTGGCTATACCGCTCTGAGGAGACCTAAAGAGGTCGAAATACGTATAAGCGGCTTGCCACTGGTCTGTATCGAAACAAAAATCTAGTACCGTCATTATGTATTTCTTTACTCCGCTTGTAATACCAGAAGTTGAATTTACTATGAATTTTGACCATGTTAAACGGCATGTGGAATGCAATCAACAAGCTGTTTGCTTTGCAGGTTTTAGAAAGCACAGTGGTAAAAATTTGAATTCGATTTCGCTATGCAGAAATCGTATGATCTCACTTTTTGTTAAATATTTATTTATTTTATATATGATTTTGATATCACAGCTAAAATGATTCAGATAAGATGAAGCATTACATAACTTGTCAATTTGAATTGAGAAATAGGCGTTGCATTAATTTCAAATTGCAGCTATTTTTATGTTTAATTTAACATTTTAAAGTATTTAATTGGCAAATAATAAAATTATTCAAGAATGTGTAGCCGAACCACGATTAGGAAAAGAAATTAGATTATTACTCACCATAGAACCAAATATAGCCAAATAGACATATTCAAAATAGTGAACAAATGTTCATCAACAGTTCAGCACTTTATTGAACGCTACCGACATAAAAATAGAGTTGAAAATAAATCAAGGTTAGCTCCAAATAAGATTTTTATTGAACGTGAGGAAAGATGGATTATCAGAGAAATAGCAAATAATCCTACAAAAAGTGCAGCAAAATTTCGAGGTGAGGTGAAAAGACAGTTTTAAAAACAATGTAATCCTGAAACAATTAGACGGATACTACGAAAGAATAACCTACATTGTCGAACTGCTTGAAATAAACCTTTCATTAGCCAAAGAAATAGGCGTATTAGATTGGTGTTCGCTAGGAAGCATATTAACAAAGATGTAAACTTTTAAAATTTAGTAATATTTGCAGATGAAACTAAAATAAGCTTGATTGGGTCCGATACAAAAATATCAGCGTGAAGAAAGCCAAATAAAGAACTAAAATTAAAAAATATAAAAGCTAACGGTAAAGCACGGTGGAGGTGGAGTCATGATGTGGAGGTATTATAAGATAAGTTATCTGCAGGGGTAGGTAACATACATTTTACTGAAGGAAAGATAAACCAATACATGTACTTGGATATACTAAGGCAGCATCTCGCCGCTAGTGCTTAAAAATAAGGTATTAATAACAATTGCCGGTTTTACCAGGACAACCGTATGCCGTTTATTTTTATTGATACAAATAAGCCTTTTTTCAATTCCTATGGCTTCTCAGATAATTCTTGGTTTATAGAAGCAGATGCGCTATGGGTCTGGAGTTTGCAAAATCAATTTTGTTACCTGCATGAATATGATGTTGACCTAGAGATAAAATGGAGTCAGAATTGCGAACAGAAATGGAATGTTCATAATCCTATTTAAGATTCTACGATTTGTTTGACTTATTTATAATCGGGTTCAGTCTACGCAAGGAATTTCATACACTTCGTGTTATTCATTTGGAATGTTGTCTTTAATTGATTGGACAAGATATTAAAGTTTTTGTTGGGCAAGAAATATTTTTTTTCTCCTCTTGATTCTAGAATTTTGTCGATTTTGTCGAGTTCTTTAATGTTAAAAAAAAAGCTTTAGTGTGACGAGGGTCAGAGTCTTTGGATTATTATTAAGTGTAAGATTAATGTGTGTGGATGCTCCTATTAATGTGATATTCGTGGTAACCGTTTTGTATAAGGGCTTGTTTTAAACTAGAGAACTCAGCGGGTCTATTTGCATCATCGTAAGGGCGTATTGATCTGGAGATAAGCGTATCAATGAATGAAATAATTTGGAAGGGGACTAATGAGAGTTGGCATACCAGTAACGATTGGTATTGATGAGTTTTCGATAAACAGAATGATGAAAATTTTAGGATTGGTTTTTATTTATGATAACGACAAGAAACGGCAGGGATGAATTAGTTTCTACCTTCATCGTGGACTGAATATTAGGATTCAAACCATTCAGATGGGTTTGAAAAGACACCAAAGTATCCCTGCCACGGGGCGAAATGACGAATGTTTCGTCAACATATCGTAGCCAACATGTGGGTTTGAGCATTGATATGATTAGTGCTCGGACTTGAAGTCTTCCATAAAGACATTGGCATTTACTGGAGATAGTGAAGAGCCAATTAGGGTAGCATTTATTTCTCTGTAGAATTGATTTTGGAAAATGGAATAAGTGTTGAATATACAATGTGTTATGAGGTATAAGTGGTCTTGTTGGATACTGTATTTCGTGTTTCGCCTATAGGGATGTTTGTAAAGAGTGAAACGATATCAAAACTTACTGGATTGTCTGACGGTGAGATAGGGCATTGCTTAAGAAGTTAAATGCTACATATAATATATGCTATGCATATGCATATAATGTATGTATTCTAAAATTAAATTAGGTTAAATTAATTTAATAATATTATTTTATTTTCTGTTATTAAAATAAGGTTTATTTCAGTCTTCCAGCATTTAAAACAAAAATAGATCATATTTAATCAAGAATATATTATATTCAAGAATATAATATTATTTAAATTGTACAAATTAAAAACCCTGTAGCTTAAAAACAGAAGATAAATCCATTACTGTTAAGCTAATATCATTATTTTTTTTATTATAAAAACATTTAAACTGTCGCCTTTTATGACCCACCTTGTATGAGATCTTGAAAAATCGACATAACGATGGTGAGCAGGCAAAATGTCCTATCTCGCATTTTGTCGATTTTTATATTTTTGGTCGAAACAATTTTAAATGTGACTATTTATCACCCCATTAAGGAATATTTGCGAAAATCGACAACATTGTCTCGGCACCTGCGCATTTCAATTTGGCCTATTGAAAACAGACACCATTTGGAATGCTAAATGTCCTATCTAACGTCCATTCTAATTTGCGTGAAGTGGCTGTGCACATCGTGCTAATTATTTTGGTATAATCACTGTAAATAGTGACCTGTTTTACTAGAAAAAGGTGTGTATTGATTCTTAAGTTCTGTGAGCATTGTATTATTTATATGGAGTTGGATAAAAATCTTATTTTAATTAAAAATAACGTTGAATTTAATACTTATCTAGATAGGACAATTTGTCAAAAAATAAATTGTTCTAGTAGGAGTCCGTTAAACGTGTCAAATGTAGTTAGGACATTTTTTTTTATGCATATTATAAATTGAAATCCTTTTTATACATAAATTAGGGGTGACTGCTATTATTCATATTACAGAGTGATCCAGAGGAATCATGAACCGAGGAAAGACGTTAGTGAATATGTGTAAGACACAAAATTCGATGGAAACCTGCAATACGTCAATGAACGCACCTTCCACTGAGGTATTATTTTTTAGTGGATATAATGAAAGTGTTTTTAATTTAATAATTGTTTTATAATAATAAATGTTGTTGTTTAATAATAAATGTTTTAGGTAAGTACGATTGCTAAGGTTACCGATATGCCCACTGTCTCTTTGATGCAAATTCCGATGGCACCCTCACCCATTACTCACACTGCTAATACTTCTCCTGTATATACTAACAATGATTTTTTGGACTTAAAAAATATGACTTAAAATGAAAATAATATTTCAGGATTAAATCCTGAAAATGATACCGAAAGTTACACAGACAATATTTCTCAAGAAAGCTTACCCGATGAATGCTACGTTCAGAACCATAATGAACATTCTGATTCAGATACAGCCACTAGTTCGTTTAATGAGTTGTCCGATGAATATTTGTCTGATGATTTAGTAAATGATCACAATATTGTTCAAAATCAAGAAAATATTAATATAAATGACCCAAATAATTATAACAGTTATGGCCAATGCTCTTTTAAATTTCAGTATGTTACATAACATAACAATACATCAGAATTTTTTAAAAGTTGGGCATACACAGATGTAGGTGGATTCTGTGCATGCATGTATTGAGAGAAAATTAAAGAATAGAGAAATTAAAGTTCCAATTGATTACATATCTATCACAAAAGAAGCTAGAAAGCTTCCAACCCCATACGAGGCTATTCATTGTGATTTCCGTTTTTTTAATGATTATAACAAAACTTTAAAATATTTTTCTATTCGTCCAGGACGAATAGTAAACGATCCAACTGTTATGGATATAAGATCTATTTTCTACAATCCTTTAAGACATATTAAGGTAAAACTTGATCATACGGAATCAGATTGGACTGATCTTCTTGAGAGACCAAAAAATATCCCCACAATATCCAAATATCCTGCATTATTTACCGAACGATGTAAAATTTCCATCGTAAAGGGGCAACATCTACAAGAACTAAAAAGTATCATTCCATCGGACTGTCACTTTTTCTATGACAATTTGCCACATATTGTTTAGAATCATTAAAAACTTTTATTATCTAAGTTTATCTGTTATAAAAAGGTTTTTTTTATAATAATAAAAATAAATAAATGATTTTTGCTTCCTCCTGTCAAACACACTTTTTGTAGATAGGACGTATTGCCTGCTCACCGTCGATAAGTAATTTTGCAAACTGTATTCATTATTTCCTTTGACGAAGTTTATTTGTAAGAGATTGTATATTTGCTAATAGAAATTGATATCACAGTATTACGCAAAGAATATTGTTATGTAAAATGAAAATCAGAACAAACCCAGCGACCAATAAATTGACGTAAGCATAAGACTTACCTAATACCAACATGCTCTTAGTCTCGATGTCTTCACTTTGCAACGTGGATACGGAGCAAGTGTAATCTCCAGAGAGGTCAGGTCCGGCCTTCCAAATGTGTAACGCCCTGTGTCTGCTGTTTGCGTCTACACTTGCTGCATACTCTAAATTCAGGCGGTCCTTGAGAATTCCCAAGCCTTGGGGTCGTTTCTTTGTACCTAGAAAATCCGGAACGTTGTTTGTTTTAGTTAGGTTAGGTGCTTGATTAATGCAAGTCTGTTATAGTTATATGTTTATATAAACAGTATATTACTAAGGGTAGTTATAGCGATTACAATAATTATAAAATATTTAAATATTGAGTAATTAAATTAGTTCAAGAATTTCTGTACAGTGGAGCAATTTGGTTTACAATACCTAAGACTTAATATTTAAGCGGCTAAGAAGATTTCAAATACGTAAGACAGAGAAGAAAGCTCATGTTATACAGGGCGTGTTCAAAGAAGCCGGACGGTCAAATATTTCGCGAATTAAATATCAGATCGAAATAATGTAAAAAACGTGTACAATATTTTTCAAAACTCTGTCGAATGACAGCAAACAAAAATTCCCTGCTACACCTCCTGGAGCAAGGAGGAGGAAAACTTTGATATCTCCACTCTTTCTTTACCAGCGCCATATATATATATATATATATATATATATGGCAACAACTATATGGCCTTTTAGTCCCATCGCCGTATTTATCGTTCGCTGGTAAAATTGTTTTAAATTCTGGGACAATATTATATAGTCTCTAGACTTATAAAACTTTAATTCGGTTTAATTCGTAATGTGTTGTGTTCTTGATATTCTCAGCATTCTGCAATAAAGACACATCGAGGAATTTTTGAATAAGTGTTTAAGTTGAAAAATAGTGGCTTTCTTTTTAGGAATTATTATAGATTTTTTTTTCTTATTATTTAGTGAAAGTGCATATTTCTCACCTATTTCTGTAATACTATTTACTAACTCCTGGAAAGATTTTTTAATGTCTGCAAACGCTAACATGTCTTCTGCATGTATAATGTTATTAATACGTTCTCCATTAAAGCGAGTTCCGACTTTAACATCCTTTATTGCCCCTTAAAAGATTTACTTAAAGTATCTGTTAAATAACAGGGGTGATAGTATAGTTACCTATTGGACCCCATGTTTGATTTTTATTTTATCGGATTCTTCTCCCCCCTTACAGGTAAAAAATGTTTAATTTCATTTGAAGTTGCTAATAATTCATAGATCACAGATTTATTCTAATATTTGCTAACATCTTTCTCAGCTTTTTGTGCTTTACTGTATCAAACACCTTATGGTAATCAATAAAGCATGCGCAGATACGGCAATTTACATCTTTACATCTTTAATATAGCAAATATATGCTAAGTACGTGTAAGTAAAAGAAAAAAGTAATAACTATCGATATTTTAGAACTCATGAAAGGAAGAAGAAAATATAAAAAAAAAACAAACAAACAAAAAAATATATGTATATTTATACATATATATATATATATATATATATATATATATATATATATATATATATACATATATATATATATATATATATATATATATATATATATATATATATGTATAAATATATATAATATATATAATTTAATCGAAAACCCCTAGAAATTCAAAAATTAAAAAAAACATAAGCAATGAATAAATGAAATGTGTGACGAAATAGAAAATCCAGACAACAAACTTGAAACGTTCAACCTTGACAAAAAATTTTAAGAAAACTTATATAACAAGAAACATAATATACCCACTCTAGTACACAGCAAAAGAAAAAAAAAATATATAGACAAAAGCGAACAAATTCTAGTATGGGGGAAATTTATCGAAAAATATTTTGCGCATGAAAGATATGAGTTGCAACAGATATCGGCATGGAATGAAAGGACACCAACTCTAGCAATAGAGGTAAAATATGTGCAAGGAATTATAAGGCTTGTGAACCAGACTAAATAAAAATAGATGTAATAAAACTAATACAATAATGATAAAAACCACCTAAATCTACTAATACATTTTTTTAACAAAATATATGAAAGTGGCGTAATACCAAAGGAATAACTTGACTCAGAATTCTTAGCTATACAAAAAAAAAATAGTTCCAACAAATGTAACTAATTTAGGCTCATCAGCTTAACGATTTCCTTACTGAAAATATTCTTAGCTATACAAAAAAAAAATAGTTCCAACAAATGTAACTAATTTAGGCTCATCAGCTTAACGATTTCCTTACTGAAAATATTTTTAAAAATCGTACAGAATTAAATTTATAAACAATGTAAAATAAACAAAATGACTCCCAGTTCGGATTTAGAAAAGCCGCTATTTTTCAACTTAAACACTTATTCAAAAATTCCTCGATATGTCTTTATTGCAGAATGTTCAGAATATCAAGAACACAACACATTACGAATTAAACAGTTTTAAACATCATAAATACAGAGTTCAAATAACAGCAATTAAGAAAAAAACATGTACCTAGACCACATAATGAAAAATAAATAACAAATATAACCTGCTTATTCTTCTTCTTCCTTCTACTAAGTAGGCTTTAAAGCCTGTTTTTTCTTCAATATTAGCCTCCCAAATTGTTTAAATTGTCGTACCATCTTTTGCTTGGTCTACCAATACTTTTTCATCCATTTGGTGACTTATTTCGTGCTATTCTATCCTCTGCCATTCTACTGATATGTTCGTTCCACTTCTGTTTTCGTTTTGTCACCCATCCATTTATGTCTTCTATATTGCATGCTCTACCTACGTTTTCGCTTCTTTCTCTATCCAACAGACTCCTCCCTGGTATTCGTCGAGTATTTTTATCTCCGTTGTTTCTAGCAGTTGTCTCGTTTTAGATGTGTCAGGTCTTGTCTCCGCCGTGAATGTTAATGTAGGTCTAATTGCTGCTTTATAGATTCTTGTTTTTGTGTCTTGTCTTAGATGTTTGTTCTTCCAGATTGTGTCATTAAGAAAACCCGCCGCTTACTTGCTTTCAAGATTTGTTGTCGTACTTCTTCTTCAACATATCCGGAACTAGTTATATCTATTCTCAGATATATAAACCCTGCTTTCTGCTTTGTTATTTTTCCATCCATTTCGATTTTACACCGTAGTGGGTATTTAGATGTTGTCATATATTTTGTTTTTTCTGCTGATATTATCATATTGTATTTCTTAGCTGGTATATTGAAGATATATATTAATATTTGGAGCTGGTCTTCTGTCTCGGCGATTAATGCGGCGTAGTCGGCATAACATAATATTTGGATTTCTTGTTCCCGATTCTGTAGCCATAACTTTTACGTACTGGTTGTATTATTTCTTCCATTATTATATTAAAGAGAAGTGGGCTCAACAAGTCACCCTGTCTGACTCCGCTTTGTACTGGTATACACTATGTTAGTTTTCCATATATCTTTGCCTGTATTCGATTTTGGAGGTAAATGTTTTCGATGGTTTATATAATATTGATTGGTATGTATCTTTTATACAGTAGGTGTAAGACGTCTTCGACTTGGATAGCATCGAAAGCCTTTGTCAGGTCTATAAAACATTGATATGCTGGATTATTGTACTTAATGGCCTTTTCTGTGATTTGTCTTATTACAAACACGGCGTCTACGCAGGATCTTCCGGATCTGAATCCTTGTTGTTCATCTGATAAAGTTGTTAGTTTATTGATTTTATTGGTTATGACTTTTGTGGTAAGCTTAAGTGCGGTGTTCATTAGACTTATACATCTATATTTGTTGGGGTCTTCTTTATCTCATTTCCTAAACATTGGTATCACTATGATGTTTCTCCATGCGTCCGGTATCTTGCAGTGTAGTATTAGTTGTTATATAAGTTTTGTCATCTTTAGGGTTATACTTTCTCCTCCGTATTTTAGAAGGTCGTTGGTTATTTTGTCTGGTCCTGGTAACTTTCTATTTTTGAGCGAATTTATGACTATTTTTACTTCCTTAAAACTGATTGATATTTCGTGTCTTAATGCAGGTACGGTATTGTGTTGATTATTATTATTATATTCCTTTGCTTTAAACAGTTCCGTCAGGTATCTTTCCCATTTGTTTGCTGGTATGTTATTGTATTCCTTCAAATTTTTCATTTCTTTCCATTGGTTTCTTATAAATCTTCACATTTGTTTTTTTATACCGTAGAAGTCGCTTTCCATCCTTTTTCTAAACTGTTCCCAGTGTTCATTTTTGTTCTTCTTACCAACTGCTTTGTTTTATTTCGTACTCTTCTATAGCTGTCTCCGGATTCTGGGGTATTTGATGTTTTGTACTTCGTGTATGCCTCTCGTTTCTCTTAACATTGCTCTTTTATTTATTTTCTGAACCATGGTGCATTGTTGTTGTATTTTTTTGTTTAGTATGACTTTGCGTTTTCCTAGAGCTTCTATTGCTGCGTCTTCAATGTTATTTTTAATTTTCTCCCAGCTCGCGTTTATATCTTCGATATAGTCTATTTTTTTCAGTATCTTCTGTGCTAGCCTCCTTTGGTACATTTTTCTTGTAGAGTAGTTCCACAGTGATTCTACATTGAATTTCTTGGTAAAAAACTCTGCCTGGGGGCTATGATCACGATGACTGGGTGGATTGAGTAGCTCAGAAGACGCGTTCATGCTCACCGCTAGTTCCATGCTTGGATAAAAAAGGAGAATTGATGGACCAGGTTAGCATCCTATCCATTGTAAAAGAAAAGAAGGCTAAAAGAACCGATATAGAGCCACGGAACCAGACGGAAATATAACCTGCTACGAACAATAATTGAAGGGAAGATATAGAGCAGAAGATGAATACTTGGACGGGCATGAACGATCAACAATTAATAAATGTAGCGCAGAATAAAGAACATTTTGATGTAGTGATTGCTAACCTTTGTAATGGAATCCATCAGAAAAAGAAGTGTAGTGAAATAAGGAGAAAAGACGAGAGCGAAGGACAACTAGAAATAAGATCTAGGATACTAGTTTCACCATGTAGGGGCTGAAGAATATACATTAGTTCAAGTTGGCTTTCTTATGCATAGAAAATTTACTAAAAATATTGTGTAAGTAAAAAACAAAAACGCCAGATTAGCCAGTGTTATAATAAAAATAAACAAGAGATACAACATCTTCAAATAGAGATGAAGAAATGAGAATATAATTT